CAGCCACCTGGATAACACATCTATACCTATGGACTGCAACACTAAAATATAAAGGATAAAAGACACCAGCTGGCAGAGATCACATACATCCCTCCAAGGCAAGGTTCCGGCTCTTAACAACTCAATCTTCGCCATGACGTGGTACGCCACGTCCATTTGGTTCCCAGCACTGGACTTCCGACAGCAAGACAGACGTAAGGCAGCAGCCTACCTGTGGACTGGTAATCCAGATAAACAAAACTTCATTCACAAAGTGGCATGGGAAATAGCAACGTTAGCAAAAAGGAAAGGAGGTCTACGTCTATTGGACCCAGCTCAGCAAGTACAAGCCCTACAAATCAGATGGATACTAAGACTTATACTACAGAGCAATCTCCAATGGGTTCCACTCGCACTCAACTACATCAGGGAAATAGCCCCATATAACTCCCCACCCAATATGACGGGCCAGTTTTGTAGTTTTGCAATTTTGTATGGGCCATCTGGAAGAGGAGATGCGAACATAACCTCACCAAATCTGACAACCCCCTCATGACCATTAACACATCTCATAGAAACGGAATTGAAAGCCCTGTGGAAGAAATCTAGGACCCTAATCGATAATAACCAGACAAGAAAATAGATATCATCAAAAGATTCAAGGCATACAAGCTAGGAGGACACAACCTAGGCACAATATAGAAAAAAAACAGACTGGTCATGAAAAACTGGCTAACAATCTCACCCTCGCACACCCAAAGACCGCACAAGACCACTACGGATCCCCTGACCACCACGATGGCAATAAACCCCATTAGACCACAAGTTAGCACGATGGCGATGATAACGTCTAAGCCACAGCAACCTCTAACTTAGGAAAACCTGCACACAATGGCGATGATAACGTCTAAGCCACAGCAACCTCTAACTTAGGAAAACCTGCAAAAGAACAACCCCCCCCCCCCCCCCCCCCAAAAAAAAAGGCATTGCATTATAGAACGGACAGACTATGAGCCAAAATTTTAGCCAACTCTACATCCCTCATCCACCATCACTACATCCACTAAGCATCATGACTCATAGCATGAGCACCGCCACCCTCCAAACCCCAATGCAAAACTAAGTTCCACCTGACCAGCGAAACACCCATCTCATTCGCCTCTCACACCCTGCCATCTACCTGGCCCCTCAAAAACCCTTACAAAACACCATCACATACCCCACTACTGTCAAATCCCACTAACCCACATTGAATACCATCTCCCCTAGATTTAACACTCATCAGCTAAGTGTCCCTCCATCTCATAACCCCTCACCCCAGCCACCTGGATAACACATCTACACCTACGGACTGCAACACTAAAATGTATAAAGGATAAAAGACACCACATCGGTTAGCTAGAGATAGGAACCAAGGACAAAACGAGTCATAGTCTGAGGAGAGATTGGGTACTAGTCCTCAGAAGAAGACCAGAGACAGAACAGGATTATCTCATAGCAAGTACAGAGCCAGAGCCAGAGCCTTCGGGTTTAAGGTTTTAGAAGTCCTGACAGCAATAGGCCTGCTATGTAATTCCAGTACGCATCGCAAAAGTTGACAGCCATAGAGCTGAGAGGAACAAATAGGAATAGGCTTCACGTGGCAGACTATAGCTTACAAATAGAAATCCTAGCAGAGTCAAGCAGACAAAGTAGGGCCAAACTCCAATTCCAAAGACAGGTAGGATAACTTAGGCAGGGGTGAGGGGTGGTACATCCTTCCAAATGGAAGTAATCAATGCCGTCCACTCAGGCCTCTCAACCATAATGGGGAGGAGTGTGCGTGAGTAACTGCTGTAACTACTCTTGACTTGCCGGTGGAATAGGAACTGAACTGATGCTCCCCACAATGGAACGGAGCCAGAACCATCAGGTTCTGGTTATTAATTAAAAAAAAAAAAAAAAGCTACTAGTAATACTGCCCTGGCTTTAAGGTGTGTCCTCACTCCACCAGGTTGCCCAAGCATTCCCTGTCCATTGTGGTGCCTGTCATAGATATTAGTTGCTCTGGATAAACAATTACGTATTGGATAAACAATGCGATACCCTATCTGAAGGACTGCCCGACATGTACGACATTGCTGCAACCAGGTGCTACTACCACTCTACTGTGTATTGGATAAACAATACGATACCCTATCTGAAGGACTGCCCGACATGTACGACATTGCTGCAACCAGGTGCTACTACCACTCTACTGTGTAAGGATTCCAAGACCACGATCTTAGTTCGAACGGAGCTGGCCAGGAAAGTACGGGTTATTGAAACAGAGGACTTCACTATTTACTGTCCTTGACTCCTTGTATACCTATGAAAGAACTTGGCCCGGTGAAATGGGCATGGAACAAGAAGAAGAGGGCCAAGGAGGATCTCCTTGCGAACTAATATGCTGCAGTAGACGACAAGGCTGGGGTATCGGTTAAGAAAGCGACCAAGCACCGAACGACATGCTGCGACAACGTTGGCACAAACACACGGAGTTGACTCCGGGCCAAGTACGCAGCTTACCTGGTCACAGTAAGGAGCCATCAGGCTGGGCAAAGTACACAGTTTGCAGTGGCTACGCATTTATCTCGCATTGCAAGTGAACGTATGGTTAAATAACCGGAGGAGCCCGGAAACAAGCGGCCACCAATCTGAACTGTGTAAACTTTGCACGACATATCAACAGGAAACGGTCACTCATTTCCTCTTACACTGTGATGCGGCTCAACAACAGTTATGGGCAAAGTACGAAGGTACAGGGACTCTGGCAGCCCGTCAGCAGTCAGACCTTTCCCACTAACCCGGTCGTGCTGCTGCCAGGTACTCAATTACCCCCTGCCTGGACGCCCTTCAAGAACGGCTGTTTCCAGACACTCCGTCCGTACTAGCTGTGGATTATATGGAAGCATAGGTGCCAGATCACTGCAGAATGACAATCGCTCCATCTCAATGAGGCTTGCTACAAACTCCAATTCTTACTGAGGACTGAAATCACAGCACAGAGGACCCGAACACATACGCGAATGGACAGTGAGCCCAAGGTACCGGTCAACAGACCAGGAGCTATTTAAGGCCCAAGTGTTGGGTCAGGACAAGATTGTGGAAATTCGGGGTAAGGGCTTGCAATGGACATGGTGGACTGAGCAGGAGGAAACAGACCAGACAGGGCTTTCCCCCCTGCAATCCGGAGGCTAGGGGGACAGGCGGCCATAGGGCCGAAGTCAGGCTCCCTCCTCTTTTGGGACTACAGCAGCCTAGACAAGCCCCTAACGCTTAGGTCTCATTAAAGTGGGTTAGAGATCAGGTTGGGGAGGCTGTAACTACAATCTTACTGTACTGGGTGAAGGCAAAGTGACACAATCTCAAGACAACAATCTTACTGTACTGGGTCAAGGCAAAGTGACACAATCTCAAGACAACCATATCGACTTCGTCAGGCCACCCTTCCATTAAGCACTACGGTTTAGGGCTTTAGCCTGGATGGGACTACTTTGGAGTAATAACCCTGGACAGTCGGCCTTGCAGGGATTCAGTTGGGGGAGCTACAGTCCTAGTACAGGACATCTTAGCCTCATTCAGTAGGTCTGAACAACAGCCCCCACAGTACTGTAGTGGTTACGTGGCAAGACTTGTTTTTCATAGCCAGAGTTGGAAGCCCAAAGGCTGAGAGGTTGGACTGCATAGCTCAAGAACGGCCATATAAGCGCAGCTGGGTGATGCTCCCAGTGAGATCATCTCAAGTTTTCGTATACGGGACGCTGGACCTGGTTTCCAGCAGGTGATGCTCCCCACCAATGGACCGGAGCCATCCACACGAACAAAAAAAAAAAAGAAAAGAAAAAAAAAGCGCCGCCTGATCATAAGAATAAGAATCCCCCCTTGCCTTCACGTCACTGATGGGTCAGGAAAAAGTGGGCAGTTTAAAAGACCAGGAAGTCGGCGAAAACGAAAAACGAGATCGGGCAAGAATTAAGCGCCGCTTGATCATAAGAATCCCCCCTTACCTTCACTTCACTTACGGATCACCCCGGGCAGAGTTGGGGGGTTTATACTGAATAGTTATACACTGAATAGTTATACTGAATAGTACTAAGTTATTTGATAATTGTTTCTCTAAGGGGTGTCATAGTATTCAGGGTTTATGGGGGGGATTATAACTGGCTCATCTTGCCGTCTGGGGGGTAATCTCGCCGACTCGTTCTGTGGACCACTATCCTCTTCTGTTTGACGCATTTTCGTAACACCAGAAGTCGCAGGTTCATATCCCATTTTTCTCGGGATCAAATCCCTTTTCCCGCTCGTTAGCTTCTGCCCACTCATTCTGTGAACCTGTGTGACGCATGTTCGCAGTTACTTCGTCCTCACAATAGTCACCATCCTTCAGCATCCTCTTTCACAAGCTTCAATCTGTACTACAGTCTTTCTTCTTTCTCTCTTCTTTCCTTTCTCCTTCTCTTCTTTCGTTTTCCCTCTTCCAGAGCAACACCACCCTTCCTACCTGGGACATGGTGGAACAGGAGGAGGAAATCTTCAGAATGACATCTTTCAACCCTATACGGCACCTTGTCGCGGTTGTTTCTTCTCCATCCTTCACCAAACTCTTTCTCGCTTTTCTCCCTCCTCGTTCCTCGTTACTGCAGTCTTTTCTTTTGCTTTTTGTTCCTTTCTCATCTTCGTTCCTTTTCCCAGTTCATCTTTATGACAGTACTCTCTCTCTCTCTCTCTCTCTCTCTCTCTCTCTCTCTCTCTCTCTCTCTCTCT